TTTCCTCTTGTGGTCTTACTTATTCTCACTGAAGTTTACTTGGACATCACTGTTCGTCCTTTCGACAACCATAAGCTGTTTTATTCGGAGCAAAGGAGACATGCCATTTCTCCCCCAATTCGAGATTTGTGCGAGTCTGTCATTTAGTTTTTTCTATGGCGGCATCCTGTTCCCTGGGCTTATACCTAAAGGAGAGTGTTCCATCATCCGCAAATGCATTGGCTTCAGGAATGAGTTGGAGCAACTTATTGAGGAAGACTCTCCACAGCAGAGGGTCCAATGTGCTTCCTTGAGGGACGCTTGGTTTGATGTCGTAGTAAGCAGACTGTTTTCCATTGAGAACTATTCTCATTTGTCTGTCGAGTAGATAATTTTACAAAAGTGTAGGCCATTTGCAGGAATTTAATCACGTGTTAAAAATTAAAGTGAGAGGGAGATGACATCTCCTTTGCAAACCACTGGAGCAACCGAGGATTAACACCGTCAGGTCCTGTAGCTTTTCTTGTGTCCAAATTGCGCAGGAGCTTCGCCCCTTCTCTCTCGCTTGTTGTAATCATGCTTAGTTTCTCATGACTCAAGATGGGAAGTGTGGGTGTTTTTGTTCAGGATAAGGAACTGTCATTTTACTTGAGAAATGTTTTACCAGTGCATCTGTCTTTTCTTCGTAGCTTACTGCTAGTGTCCCACCTTTTATTATTATGGGTGGGATAATTTCATCCTTTGTGTTGCCATGCTTGTCTTTAACAATGCTCCACCATAATTTCATTCCAATTTTACCCTCTTTTTTCTGAATGGCCCATTTCTGAGTTGGTTCCAATTGTTGTGCATCCTGTCTATGGAATTGCTTATTTCTCTATGTAGGATTTCTTTTATAGAGGATCCATGTATGATGTTTGATGTCCGAGGCTCTTTTCCATTGAGGTCCAACTCATGGTTGATCAGAGCACTTCGGTGAGTAGTTAAGATGGGGCACAAAACGACTTTGTAGCCTCATTCAAACAGAGGTGAAGGAATTAGCCTTCTGATCTATATTGCCCTGGATATCATTGTCCTGTTTTATATGAGACAGAGCCTCTCTGAATCCTGTCCAGTTTGCATTCTCCCACTTCCATATCGTTCTTTTCGTAGTCTCCTACCTAGGTGTTCTTATGCTAATCTTTGTTAAGACAGCTTCGTGGTCAGATGTCCCGACATAACCAAGTGGGACAGACTTTACTGAATGGGAAGGTAAGTCAGTTACAACTGAGTCAAGAGACGACCCAGAATGATGTGTTGGAAAATCAACAAAGTTCTGTAGGTCATGGACTGCCATTAGTTTGTCGAAAGAAGATTGTACCTTTTGCTGGTTTGGGTCTCCAAATAATACAAAAGGATGGCAGTTATAGGTGTTCATAAGCTAATCAAAATTTTGCATTAAGAAATCTATAAGCCGTGTACCTTGTGATGGTGGCCGATAGCATCGACAAAGAAGAATACCGTGCCATTTTATGTCCAACAGTTTGAAGAGTATTAAGTTAGAGCTGTCTGGTAAGAGAAGATCTATTATCTGCAGCTGCAGGTTTATTTTTACAGTATAGTTCAATTCCTCCTCCCTGCGTATTTCTGTCTCTACGCATCCAATTTGGAATCCTCTCACGTTTGCTGAAATTATTTGTATTTCGCAATATTTACCACTGCCTTGGGAATACTCAAGGGAGTGTGGAGTTGGCATATACGTAACGGAATGGTTCGGTTGGTTCGGACTGAAAGTGTTCGTAAGGAGTCCAATCAACTGAATCATTCCGTGACGTATAAACCTGCAGCTGCAGATAATAGATCTTCTCTCTCTCTCTCTCTCTCTCTCTCTCTCTCTCTCTCTCTCTCTCTCTCTCTCTCTCTCTCTCTCTCTCTCTCTCTCTCTCTCTCTCTCTCTCTCTCTCTCTCTCTCTCTCTCTTTCTCTCTCTCTCTCTCTCTCTCTCTTTATCTTTCTCTATATCTATTTATCTATCTCTCTATTTATCTGTCTGTCTATCTTTCTTTCTCTCTCTCTCTCTTTCTCTGTCTCTCTCTCTCTCTGTCTCTCTCTCTCTCTCTCTCTCTCTCTCTCTCTCTCTCTCTCTCTCTCTCTCTCTCTCTCTTTCTTTATCTCTCTATATATCCATCTATCTGTCTATCTATCTCTCTATCTCTCTATAAATCTATCTATCTATCTTTCGCTCTTTCTCTCTCTCTCTTTTTCTCTATCTCTCTCTCTCTCTGTCTCTCTCTCTCTCTCTCTCTCTCTCTCTCTCTCTCTCTCGCTCTCTCTCTCTCTCTCTCTCTCTCTCTCTCTCTCTCTCTCTCTCTCTCTCTCTATATATATATATATATATATATATATATATATATATATATATATATATATATATATATACACATATATACATACATAAACATATATATATATATATATATATATATATATATATATATATATATATATATATATATATATACCCCATTTCTTCGTTATGTTCATTACACACACGTCTGCTTTAACACAGGGACTTTAATACATGTTAGACACCGCGAGCCTCTATTAACACACAAGAATAGTCAGAAACATGACGTAATATTCACAGGAGTCTGACATAGAAATGGCCGTTGAAGTAGGCCCATGCAAATATAGACTCATGTCGATGCTGTTGTTTCTCTGTTATATTCTGAACTGAATATCCACATGGGGGGTTTAATATGTGCGATTGAAGAGCATGCTAGGTCACTGCATTCACTTCCTAATTGGTGTTATAGAGCATGCACGCGAAGTTCACTTTGTTAGGTCGCTTCGCTCACTTCACTTCGCTAGGTCACTTCCCTTCGTTAGGTCTCTTCACTCACTTCACTTCGCTAGGTCACTTCACTTCGTTAGATCTCTTCGCTCACTTCACTTCGCTAGGTCACATCACTCACTTCACTTCGCTACATCACTTCACTCACTTCACTTCGCTGGGTCACTTCACTTCGTTAGGTCACTTCACTTCGCTAGGTCACTTCATTTCGTTAGGTCTCTTCACTCACTTCACTTCGCTAGGTCACTTCACTTCGCTGGGTCACTTCACTCACTTTACTTCGTTAGGTCACTTCACTCACTTCACTTCGCTAGATTACTTCACTCACCTCGCTAGGTCACTTCACTCACTTCACTTCGTAAAGTCACTTAATTCACTTCACTTCGCTAGGTCACTTTACTCACTTTACTTTGCTAGATCACTTCACTAGGTCACTTCACTCACTTTACTTTGTTAGGTCACTTCACTTTGCTAGGTCACTTCATTAGGTCACTTCACTCACTTTACTTCGCTGGGTCACTTCACTCACTTCACTTCGCTAGGTCACTTCACTTCGTAAGGTCACTTCACTTCGCTAGGTCGCTTCACTCACTTCACTTCGCTAGGTCACTTCATTCACTTTACTTCGCTGGGTCACTTCACTCACTTCACTTCGCTGGGTCACTTCACTCACTTCACTTCGCTAGGTCACTTCACTGGGTCACTTCACTTCGCTAGGTCACTTCACTCACATCACTTCGCTGGGTCACTTCACTCACTTCACTTCGTTAGGTCACTTCACTTTGCTAGGTCACTTCATTAGGTCACTTCACTCACTTTACTTCGCTGGGTCACTTCACTCACTTCACTTCGCTAGGTCACTTCACTTCGTAAGGTCACTTCACTTCGCTAGGTCACTTCACTTCGTAAGGTCACTTCACTTCGCTAGGTCACTTCACTCACTTCACTTCGCTAGGTCACTTCACTCACTTCACTTCGCTAGTTCACTTCACTCACTTTACTTCGCTGGGTCACTTCACTCACTTCACTTCGCTAGGTCACTTCACTCACTTCACTCGGTCACTTCACTCACTTCACTTCGCTAGATCACTTCACTCACTTCACTCGGTCACTTCACTCACTTCACTTCGCTAGGTCACTTCACTCACTTCACTTCGCTAGGTCACTTCACTCACTTCACTTCGCTAGGTCACTTCACTCACTTCACTTCGCTAGGTCACTTCACTCACTTCATTTTGCTGGGTCACTTCACTCACTTCACTTCGCTAGGTCACTTCACTCACTTCACTTCGCTGGGTCACTTCACTCACTTCACTTACCTAGGTCACTTCACTCACTTCATAATTTGTATTATAGTGCATGCACGCGTAGTTCGTTCACTTCACTTCCCTTGGTCACTTCACTCAGCTTACTTCGCTAGGTCATTTCACTCACTTCACTTACCTCACTTCACCCTGGCCTTCTCACAACCCACTCTACCCATGCCTTTCAACTGGACTAATAAATGGTACAGACTGGTTTCTGATAACTTTTTATTAATCTTCAATTGTTTCCTCTATGCGATTATCCAGGAAATGCAGAAGTGTCTTTTCTGTTTCTGTTAACTTTTTTATTGATTTTTAATGAATTGTCTCAACTTTATTTGTCAGATCAGAGAGTTCCTTTTATGTGCCATTATCTTTATCAGTATTCAAGAAATCCAAAAGTTTCTTTTTGAAAAGTTAAACTACAGTGGGTCTTTGAAATAGGTCTTTGAAACCTATAATAATTGCGTGCTGCGTGTACTGTGGCCGCGTTCAATCCCCGCACTGCCAGTGGATGGTAACCCCGACTATTCCTTGCACACAGCGGAGTAACTTAAAAAAAAAGAACATAATCAGTTAGCCCGTCAAATCAAATGATAATAAATGGAATTGTAATAAACGGAATAAAGCTAAAGTAAAGTCCCCACATCAGGAGAGGATCTACAGTATTGATGTTAATTTCTGTTTTTAGAGGCATTGCTCTATAATGCCAGAGTCAGTACAACACTTTCTTGTGCCTGGATTGAATCAGAATGCTAAGCGTGTCAGATATTCTGCTATATGATATTTTCATTGGTGAGAATTAGTAGCAAACTAGATGGTCTTGTCCTATATATCATGGTTTGCAGCCAGGGTTGTCGACACAACAAACACCTCACCTCCTGAAAA